AATGTTCTGGTGTTTAATGTTGTGCCACAGCTTCACTTTTATTAATAATTCACTGCACAGCTCTTTCCCTGTTACTTCCAATCAATTTACATTTTCTTCTGTGACACATAGAATTACTTAAAGTGCTTTGAAAATTGTTTCTATGTATTATAAATTGTTTCTTGCTTAGCACTACAATATTGAGAAGTAACAAATCTGGAAATGAACCATTGATACTTATATTGTAATGAAAAAGTTGGTGGCAAGAATAATTTTTAAGATGTCCTGTAAAATATATTTATTTTATTTTTTTTTAAATCCTTAAATTATCAAAAAGGTCTTGTTCAGAATTTGAATTGCTATCTTTGGGATATTGTGATTTGATATTTGTAGTTTGTAGCACTGAGATTTTTAGTTACTGGCTATTCCTTTGGGGATATAATTTAGTATTTATACTTTGATGCCTTGACAGATTTGGTTTCTTTAAAGTTTTGACATGTGTAAATGGGATCAAAGGAGGTGAAGTATATCGACATACTGATTTTTATTTAAATCAATTTTATAGAAAAAAAGGCAGAAAATCTTATTCATCTATAATTCCTATCTTGGTACCTAATTTGTAATAGACTCTGAGTAAATATATGTGAATGGAGGGTAATACTTGAATCACTGTTTTTCAGAAACTGTGTGGCTGTATTGTAACAGAGCCTGCCACATTCTAACTCATTTTATTACAGTATTCTTTTCATGCTTCATGTCAGGGTCAGTCTTTAACTCCAAAAAAAAAAAAAAAAAAAAAAGTTGGCGATGAGCTGAACATTCAGCAGTCATCTCAGCATTATGCCAGCCAGAATACATTTCAAAGCTGACGTTTCATCCTTCAAAAACCGTGTGTTTGCTGATGAGATTTTAAAGAAAGCCTCACTTTGTGTCATCCTGGCCCAGTTCTTTAATCATGGCCTGCAGCTCTTCTTCATTAGAAGATTATTTTTCACAAAGTACAGTATCACTTTCTCGCTTATGATTCATTTAAAGGTTTATTTTTAGTGTTTCAACCTCCCTGTTTTATCAGTATCTTGTTTTACATGTTGAATAGGATGTTCGATTTGGGGAAAGATGAAGTTGGAATCAGGGACAATCTAGTTTTTCAGCTGTTGCCTGAACTTTTAGTACTGTCATCTCCAAATGCATTCCTTTCATTTACTCATTTGAAAGTAGGTATACTGCACCTCTGGAAATGCCAAGTGGGTAGAGAGGTGGATTGCAGTGCCCAGCACAGTGTCTGGGATAGTCGCCTTTCTCTAGGAACAGTAAATGTCCTTAAAGAGCCTTGCCCAGCTCCCCACCCTATTGTACAGCTGTAATCATCAGATCTGTTCTACATGGGATTCTTGTCAGCCCATCTAACTCACTTGGGCACCACATCATTGTATCACCTAATATAACAAATAAGCCTTCAATTTCAGTGAAGGCTTCAATTTTAGCACCCTATTTAATTTTTCACAAATATTGAATAATGCAATGTGCTTCTCAGTAAAGACACTCTTGCTTGTGGTAAGAGAAAGACTCATTCTCTTTCCTTGGTTGTCAGCATCCAGAGTGCAGAAGATGAAAAAGCATGAATGACTGCATACTAAAGATTTTTTATGGGCCACTGCCTGGACATCACAAGTACTACCTCTCTTTCTTCCGTTGTGTGGAGCCCAGGCAGGTGCCCACCTCTAACTGAGAAACGCAGATAGTTCACTTCTAAAGGATGTCTGGTAGGCTGGATTCAAAGGGTTATAATGATGAGCACGTGCCATATATTGAGGTTTTTCTCTGCCAATATGTAGCATGGCCTGTCTCCCTTTAGTAATTGAGTGTTTCAGAAATCCTTTGGATATCGAAATAGAGGGAAGTATTTTATTTTATTTTTCCAATGCAACGAACATACTGAAAAAGTAGGTAAACCAAGTATTTGGAGGTTTTACTGTTACCACTTAAGAGATACTGATTTTCTCTTTCACAGTATTGCTCTTCCACACCTGTCAAACTAGTAAAATCAAACTAGTAAAATCACCTGTCAAACTGGTAAAATCTTACCTTAGTGAAGCCTTCCCGAGCTGCTTTCTTTCCACCCCTGCCTCCCTGGCTATAAGTAGTAGTTGCATCCTCAGTTTTCTGCTTGGGCTTGAACAAACCTGTTCATTTAATTCTTTCATCCATTCACTCATTCAGATATCTATAATAGAAGGAAAGAAAAAGAAAAAAGAAAGAGGGGAGAGTTATTAGAAGGGGGAGACAAAGTTAAAATTCACCGTGACAGATCAGTGCAAAGGCATAGGGAAACCACATTTAGCTTTACATTGGGTATAAAGGAGAGGAGGAACTGGTTCTTTCTGAAGAAAAAAGTTTAGTCTAGGTCTCTTATTATAATGTATACTTTCCCTTCCCCAGATAATTAGCTTTTCAGAGAAAATTCAGAGATCGTTTTGATGATCTCTAGTGTTCTAGAAGTCATATGCTGAACACTCAGAAGAGTTTATCAGCTGAAGGTTGTCTTAGTTACTTTTTACTTATTGCGGAGACAAAATAATTGATGCCCAAAGTTAGAGAATGAAAGGTTTATTTCTTATAGTTCTTGGAGGTTTCAGTCCATATTCAGTTGGCTACAATGCAGGGTGGCATGGCGGGGCAGCCATTCTCCGCTGGCTGCAAATAGCAAGGCGTTAACTGGCAAGAGAGTGAGAGACACACCTCCTTCCCACCCTTACATCATGTTTTGGCTCCCCCCGGTGGGTGTAGCACTCACACGGCCAACCCAAGCACTAGACAGTGAACCAATCACAAATGCTAGATTTAGTCCAGTCCATAATTCATGAGGCTTGGGGTCCACTGACCTAAAGCGTGACAAACTTTATCCCCAATAATACAGTGATTATACATGTAAAAATTTATGATAGTTTCTGGCAGGAAGCTTGTTTAAGTAAATCCAATGTACAAATTTTAAATCACGATCAGTTAAGAAATATTTATAGAGCACCTACTGTATACAAAACACTGTGCTGGCAGGAGCATAAGCACTGTAAAACATGATGGAAAACCCATTTCTGTTTTTGTTTGTAGCAGAACACTTGCATAAACTCAATGTAAATGAACTGCCTTTATCCTTCAAAGCTAGAAGTAATGTTTCATCCTCCAAAGCACACACCATACATTCTGAAGTACCATTTTGATATTGAAATACTTGTTTCCAAGCGTGAAAAATGCAAAAATTTAGAACAGAACACTTGACATCTACTCTGTTAATCTACTATGTGACAATGGAAAATCAGGTCTTTTTTTTTAACTGGAGTTGATTATGTTAAACCATAAATGAGAATGCCTCATCATAGAGCTGTGTTGAGCGCAACGTAAGTTAATGTATGGGAAAGAGTATAGAAAATAAAGTTTATAGAGGTATTCAGTGATACCTTGTCATGATTTATGTCAGTAGCAGAAATCCTCGTGTCACTGGGGACAAAGCTTGTGTGTGGTATATTCTAAGTCCTGGAATTTTTAAAGGAACTTTTCAGCACACTGCATGGGTGTGTTTAACTTTGGAATTTATGACACATAGTCATTGTTTTCATTTCTGATTTATTCATATTTTGTAGCATAAGAGTATCAGGATTCTCTACAGAAATGTTATGAGTTGATGCACAGTTTTATTAAAGTTGCAGTTAGCAAAGGATGAAGGCATTGCTTTATAGGAGTTTAAAATTTCACGTTTTTATATAGTCTGATTCATTCCAAGCATACGTGCCTGAGAGCAGACCCATTTTAGTATCCTCCACACCTCCCTCCCACTTGTTGCCAGCTGCTACCCCTTTCATTCAGTGGCAGAATCTAAACCTCAGAGCTTTGTGACTACTAGCTCCTTTCCCTTATACTGCTTGTCTAATTCATTTTTATGTCATCTTGCTGTAACCTCTAAAATGTCTCTGAAATCATGGAATTCAAGACCTAACCTCATTTTAAAGTTAGGCGTTGATTGCCTTTCCTAATCTTTTCAGATCTCTGAAATTCTAGGAAAAGAGACTTCTAAGAGTTTACTGTCAAATCAGCAAGAAGTCTTAGGTTAAAAACACAAATCAATTTTGAAGAAGTTTGAATGTTAGAAGACACTTCTATTTGATATACTTGAGTAAGAATTTATTTCATTGTCTCTGGAAACACTGGCTTTTTCCCAACTCTGTAACCATTGTGAAGTGTTTAAAGTGTGTGGGCCATAAGAGATGGCTGATAGATGTATAATGAATGAGGGATAGTCAGAGAGGCAAAAATAGAATGGTAATGGTCAGAGATTTGTAAACTCAACTTCCGTTTTCTGGTTTTGCTTAACAGAAATCTGTTTTTTTAATTGTATTTTGTTTTATTTTTCCAACAGCAAGATAAATGCAAATGTTAGAAAGACAGGCCCACCTTTCCTGGTCATGATTACTAGATAAACAACCTTAGCATTTCCGTCTACTATTTAATGGCATTTCAATGTCTAGGAAATTCAAGAGTGCTTTAGAAAGTATATATAGTTATAGACTCAGGGATGTCTATTATGTTTTTAAAAAGGAGGATGTCAGTGGTATTAGGATTTCAATCTGATATTTTTCCAGAGGTCTAGAAAAGTTCTTAAACTTTTCCTATTTACTGATTTTCTTATTGCTAATAGGCTATCAACAAAATCATATTAACCATTTAATAAAAGTGACATCATATGATTTATCCTTTGAAAGAACTTTATCTTTCACCCATGTTTATCCTGAACTTTGTCTTACTGCTCAAAGGTCATCAACAAACTCCACTTAATAACAATGACATCATAATATTTACCCTGAACTTTGCCCTTATTAAATTGTAAAGCTTCAAGTGCTAAGCAATGAAGATTAATGAGTTTTTCCTATTAATTATTCCAGTAACTCATCCACAAGTTAATTTTATTTTTCCGTATATGACTGAAGTGAAAGACACTGAAATACATATTTTCTGTTTCTGTTTTGCAGGGGAAGATGGTGAAAGGAATGGGAGGTGCTATGGATTTAGTGTCCAGTGCCAAAACCAAAGTGGTGGTCACCATGGAGCATTCTGCAAAGGTAAAGTGTCCTTAGCTCTGGAAATGCAGCTTTTGGAAATTCACAGTACAAACCATGTACAGAAAATACCTAATTGTGATATGTTTATTTTTTTCTCTGGCTCATTCAAGGTGATAGCACTTAAATTTTAGAGAAAAAGATAACAGTAAGTTTTACTTTCCATGGAACAAAATGTCAGGGTATTCTTTTAATATGTCCTTGGATACACACTAAAAACAAAGGCCTAAAAGCCTTTGTAGTGTCTCTAAATGTAGTGAAAATGATGTAATTAATTCAAATTTTAATCTGTTGCTCACTGTGTGCAAAATGAAAAACCCAACAGAATGTGGGTTTCAACAATAATTACTTTCAAATGGGCAATATGACTTCTTGCCAGTAATGCAAGATGGCATTCCTAGAGGTGTTAAAATGAGTGAGATGGTGACAGCAGAGCTCTTATTCTGAAAGGTATCAGACTTTATTTTGATAAATCAAATATTTATTTAATGTCTGTTATGTGCTAAGAGCAGCTTGGCTTTTGCAGCGACCAAAACTGGATAAAAAGTACTGATTACTGGAGCAGATTTTCATTTTCTTTCTCTTCTTCTTCTTCATCTTTCATCCTTCTATTTATTGAACTTTTACTGTGTGCCAGCAAGAGACTATGCAATCTGTGTGTACAAGGCAATAACCTTGATATTTTTGTATTTCTATGAAACAAACTTTAGAGAGACTAAGTCATTTACCTGAGGTCAAGCACCTAGTGGAATTGAAATTAGACTGTAGTGTCTATTACACCATAGCCATGGATTCTTCCTCTTTTGTTCTTGAATTAGTGTTTTTATACTAACTGATCACTTTCCTACCTGAATCCTTTGGCTTCTGCTAATTTGAAAAGTTGGTATTGGTTGGTACCTTCTTTTTATGTCATTTGTTCATTTTCCTTTATTTGTTTTAATTCTTAGCTTTTAAATTTACTGGTTCTCATGTTGAGACCTTGGAATCTGAGGTGACATAGTAGTACATTTGTCCTGTTTTCATTTAATGATGCAGCATTGTCTGTGAGCATGGAGCTGGAGGATTTGCACTTTGCTTGGTTCTCCTGAGGGAGTTCTGTTAGAATGATGTGTGCTATGAAATGACTCTGCTGTGAAAACTGCAGTAAGTATAAATTATCACAAATTGTTTCGTAAACAGTGGGAAGTGAGCAGTGGTGCATAAATGTGGAACAACAGAAATGAAACCAACACAGGTGACTTCTGAGAGATGCTTTGTAAAAACATCCAAAATATATTTCAGAGACAAAAGGATGCCAAGCATGCAAATTAAATCTAAATATTTTCTGGAACATAATACCTATTTGGAGAAAATTTTCTGCTTTCCCTTTTGTTGTTACTTTAATATTGACACATAGGCACTGAAAACAACTTTGGAATTTTTCTTCATTGATTTTCAAAATGTTATGCCTATATTTAGCAAAATCGCTCTCCTTCTCTCTCTGTTTCTCTCTCTCTCTCTCTCTGTCTCTCTCTCACACCTTCTCCCTTCCTTCCTCTTCTTCCTCCTTTCTCTCTCCTTTTCTCTTTCCCTCTCTCCTTTCCCAAGTCTTTTCTTCCTCCTCAGCTGGAATTTCTGATACAGGAAAATTAATGGTAATTCAAACTGCTGACTAGAAATCTCTTAGGATGGCTTTCCACAGACAAGATCACTTTACCTTTTCTTCACTTTTTTCCTTTCAGTGAGGATACTTTAATTTTTTAGACTAAAATTGGGGTTAGGTATTTTTTTCTATATACTTTCATTTGAACAAACCAATAAAAAGTACTTGCTCTCATAATAATTATAATGATTTGTTCATTCTTACTAGTTAGATAACCTTAAAAGTTTACCAACAGAGTGTTGCTTCTTAACACCTTCGCATCTTACCTGTAGCCTCTAGGGTGTGTGGTTGCTACTTGGTATTGTTCACCTGGATCCAGGACCAGCCCAGTTGAAGGTGATGTAGAGACCTCACTATGCCTTTGCTATAACTTGTATTCTAGTTCCAGGTTGGTAATGCCTGGAAAGGAGACAGAGAGTGAAAGCTCTTCGCTTCTGGTAACCTCTCCATTTAGTGACCTGTTCTTTTGCATATGCCAGAACTCTGGCTGCCTTATGATCAGGGAGCATCTGTGGGCACTAATCTCTCTAGTTTTACAAGACATGAAAGTAAAAAGTTTGAAATGAAGGATTAATACCTGAGAAGAGGATTTTCTGTGTCACAGCCCCACAGTGAGCATTGTGAGTGCTTGCTGAGAAGCTGTAGTTGTCTAGACCGTGTTTCTTCTCTTTATTTTTCTTGTTAAACTACCGGTATTATTGTGTGATTTCTACGGTGCATGGTGCACTCGAAGGATCCTTGGAAACTCTCAAGCCATGCAATGAATCTTAAAGTCAGTAAAGTGGACTTCCGGGAGAACATGGAGGACAGATAGCAGCAGCTACGGAGCAGCTCTGAAAGACCCAGCTTAGAATCCAGTAATGGTGTGGAGTGAGGAATCCTAAGAAAGAGGAGATATATCCTGCTGACCCAAGAACGAACTGGGCTGAGAGAAACCAACTGGGAATGCAGTCCTCGTGCTATAACAGGAACAGATAAAGCCTCAGCGTGGAAGCTGGAGCCCGCGCCATTGGAAGCTGCGATTTGGGTTTCCTGCCAATGCTGTAGCGTCTGAATTGGCTCAGCAGGGAGAGAGATGCGCGAAAGCTCTGAGAACAGAAATCGGTGAATGGAGTTGAGAGCGGGATGGGCGGGGAGCCCTGCATCGACCTGCGGTGAATGAGTGGAACGGGGACTCTTCCACTATCTAGCAGGCTCCAACAGAGGACATTCTGGGATCCGGCAGACTTGCCGGAACAGGGCGCTGTAGCGACTTCAGTCACATATCCCCCTCTCAAGTGGGATTGGTGAGCATTGCCTAGCCTAAGTGACACTGCTGGCTGAGACCCAGTAGGCTAGCACAACCCGGGTCCCAGCGCCTGGAGGTACACCCTAGCAGTGAAGACTTTGGTAGGTTGACCTGGAGGGGTGGGCCCCACATAGGCTGCCCAGTTGGTAACTCCCTGGTGCTCTGTGGTGGGTGGGAATACCTAGCTGGCGCAATTCAAACAGACTGTGGCCGACGGAAGGAAGCTGGGCCTCCTATATACGCTTGTATATAAGGAACAAAGAATATGGGAAGAGGCATCAACAAGAAAGGCTCCTTGGCCCCCAATCCTGAGAAACATGCAATAGCAGACATGGCACCAATAGACATAAAGTGCTATCTCCAGAGCCTCATAGACGAGTTCAGGAATGAAGTTATTAATGACCTGAAGCAAGACATAAGCAGAATAATTAGAGAAATGCTAAGCACCACCCAAGAAAAAACAGATGGTGGAATGGAAGAACAGAAAAAAAGGGGAGAATTGTCTGATGGAGAAAATAAAGAAAACATAGAATACATGAAGCAGGTTCAAAATTACCACGAAACTAAAAACTCTATCGAAAACTGGCATAACAGCTTGAAAGAAACTAAGGATAGATTATCTGAACTGGAGGCCAGATTTGTAATATGGGAGCATGAAATGAAAAACTTCTTAAAAATAACAAAGAAACAAACAACAAAAATACAAAGACTAAAAGATGATAAGAGGATCTATAACTTAAGAATTAAGAGCATAAAAGAAGAGGGAGGGACGCAAACAAATGAACTACAAAAGCTACTCACAGAAATCATCCAGGAAACATTTCCTAATTTAGCAAAAGGTAAAGATACTCAGATGTATGAAACATACAGGACCCTAGCCACCTAAACCCAAACAGCTACACCCAGGCATATAACAATCAAAATACCAGAAATCCAATATAAGAACAGAATATTAAAAGCCGTCAAAGACAAGAAACAGATCACTTACAAGGGAACACCCATCAGAATTACAGCAGACTTCGTGGCACAAATCATCAAATCATGAAGAGCGGCGGGCGGGGGGGGGGGATAATTCAAGCTTTGAAAGATAATAACCTCCAGCCAAGATTGGTATATCCTGCACAACTATTCCTGGAAATTGATGGAAAAACAAGGTGCTTCCAGGATAAAGAGGAACTAGGGGAATATGCAACCACCAATTCAACTCTACAGAGAATACTGCAGGATATTCTAAAAAAGTAAAATACGAAGAATCCAGAAATAGTGGCAGAGAGGCCACAATGAATGGAACAGAAAACAAAATGAAGACAAACTGACAACTAATGACAGAAAAAGAGCTCAACAGAAATGAGGCAGAGAAGATTGGATGATAGGAACAGCTCTTTTGGAGAAAACGACGTCATAATAGGTAATGCTGATTTAATATCATCTTGCTTTTAAGTCCCATCAAGCTTTTGTTCTTCTGTTTCCATAGGTGTTAACATGTTGTATCTTATTGGATTTTATTATATGTGATAGTATAAACAAAAAATTTTATAGACAAGAAGATTATACAGAAACCATTGTTTATTTTCTGTTAGTTGACTCTAAATACCCTGTAATACTGTCATTCTCTTGAATGATTTTACATTGTTTTGATATATTTGATGCTACAGTATACGAAGTTATACTCAAAGATGTCAAGGAGAAAGACAATATGGTAACTACTTTTATGTCGGGATTATCTTGTGGTGAAACACTATTTTGCTTAAATGGTTATGTTTTGATCTGCACTGTTTTGTTGTTATGCCCTCTTTTATCTCAATCTCCATTTTATTATTTACTTTTTTATTTTTATCCTTTTAATTAAGGGAAAAATAAATTAAAAATAGCAGGATATATTATAGTAACCCACTTTGATTTTCTATTAACTTGATTTGAAGCCCTGTATTGCTCTCACCATCTTGTTTTGACTGATGTTCCTCTATTCTCTTTTGCTTGATAGTACCAGGTTCAAAAGTTTAGGCAACAGCTGTGAAGATAGTGGGATTCATTATGACGCCCATTCTGGTTGTCTATTATCTACTTTTGAAG